TACAGTGTTTTGTACTGTACTTATAAATTCGCATTTGGCGAATTTTGGGTGTCAACGATACCCATAAATTAAATGGAAATAGCTGAGTCGTTTGCCCATTAGACTTCAACAAAAAGACTCCGCAATACTTATAATGGAAAATATATTGTGCCTTTCAGTCTTTTTTGGCAAAATCGACTTGTTGAACTGAGATTAAAGACATGGTGGGTTAGGTCAGCAGATCCAGCTTTGTGATGGCAGTGCTAATAATAAAACTCAGATTAGAGGCAAGATAGCTCAGAACACAAACCCGTAGAAGACGAAAAAGCCCGAATGGCAGCGAAATCACCGCCATTCGGAGTTTTCGCACGAACAATGACATACTCGCAAGACTTAAGGTGGAGATCAGTGATTCTTTTGTACGCGTATAACGTTCATCTTGACATGGTCTCAGTCGTGTTGGGTGTCGCACAGCGTACACTGAGCAGATGGCTACAGTATTTTCAGAGATCTGGGAACGTGGATACGAAGATTCGCGAAAAGCAGCGCTCATCTCGATGGCCACGAGAAGTGCTTATATTTATTGATGACTACGCCAAAGTTCACCCTTGTTTCTACTTTGAAGAAATTAAGTCTGCAATTAAAGAGCGATTCCCCGACCTCGGCAATATTTAAGACTGGACCGTGTGTCGAGCGCTTCGGTTTGACTTGGATTTGTATCGAAAGAAACTGACCAAGCGCGCACGTGAAAGTTGTTTCGTCGGAGCGAAACCAATACCTTGAACGACTCGGTCCATTCTATTCGTGCCCAGATCAGCTTGTTTTTGCTGATGAAACCACTAACGACGGTCGGTCTATACTGCGTCAATACGCGTGGTCACCTCGCGGACAGCCTGCAATTGTATCACTACCTTTTTCGCGCGGTAAAAGGGTCTCATTGCTTGCTACGACGGATATAACCGGTTTTTTTTTGCTTGGGGGCAAGTTGAAGAAACTTTCACAAGAAAAACTTTTCACGAAATATTGCGCTCTAAGATTTTACTTTTCCTAAACCCATGGCCACTTCCGCGTTCAATTTTGATTTTGGATAATGCTCGCATTCATATGTACCGTGAAATAGAAGATTTAGTGCACTCGACTGGGGCTCTGCTTTTTTTTTTTTTTTTTTACTACCGCCGTACTCTCCAGAGTTAAATCCAATAGAGGTGCAATTTTCTCTTTTAAAGCGATGGATTCAAAAGCTCGCGAACATGGCGTTTAGAGAGAACCTCGTGGCAGTACTCCGCGTAGCTATAAGCATGTGTACAAAACCCACGACGAATATAGGAATAAATCTTTATAGACACTGTGGGTATAGTGATAAAAGGTTAACTTTCAAATAGAAAATCCAGATAAAACTTAACTTTCAGATAGAAGGTTTTGATAAAAGTTAACTTTCAAAAAGAAGGTTCTCCTCGTTCTTATGTTCTTCATCCTCGATATCCGCACTTTCGGACAGAGGGGATCTGACAGGCTCGCGGTTGGGTTGTCGAAATGGCGGGCATAGATTCCAGTCTGGAAGTCCTAAAACTCGACGTAGGTCACGAATATTGACGCGAACAGGAACTTCAACGTTGTGTAACATGATCCGAATTATCGGATATGCCTCGCTCTGCATTTCTACAGCGGCCGCTGCGTTCTCATCAATAATCCTTTGTTGTTCATCAACGTACTGAAGTTGTTGGAACGTCGAACTTGTCGGCACTCCCAGGGGCGCATCAGAGGGGAGTCTTCCTTGAGTTGTAGCCATGTACAGCGTCGTCGCTAGCCTAGCGGATACTTCTCTGCTGCGTAAAAAATCAGCTACCAGAGGAAGTTGCTCCTGGATTCTAGACTGCGTTGCACGTATTATTGTCGAAGGAGGAGGGCTTTTGCGCATGTAGACGAATAATTCTATCTCGAATTCAGACCGACCCCTTTTACGAAGTTGTGCGCGTCTCCCGATCATCTCGAGCTGCTGAGTTAGCTCTTGGTCGGTGGACGCAATCGGCTGGAAAAGCTTCTGTGATGCATTATTGCTAGGATTTACGTATACCATTGTGCTTTAGTCGAGCGCTTTTCCAATTTGAGATTGAAACTTGGACTCGACCTTTGTCCGAAGCGCAGCACGACCATCAATGACTGTAAAGTCAAATCGAGATACTCTTCCCTTGTCGCGGCATCTTCCCAATGGCTCTCCTTTTTTGATAGTCAAGCAGCAGTGAGCTACGGAAGGAAAAGTATCTTCACCAACATTTTCTACGAGGAACCTCTGCATCTTGTTATCAAACGAAAGTGGTTGTTTGTCTGGAGCTAAGGATATTTATAATACATGTATGAATACATTGATGACCGTTTTACGTATACGCCGGTTTGGCAAAGTTGTAAGCTGAGTTTAGATTTACCCTAACCGCTCTCGAAGCCCGATTAAAAAGTCCTTATAAGGCGGCAAAGTATGTGAAACGGACAATACTTCAAAAGTAATTCACAACAAAAATGTAGACAATAATTGTGATTCAATTAAATTATTAGAGATGTTTCCAATACAATACATTTTAGAATGTTAATTGTGCTTTGTTAGTTTATTTCAATAAATATTATTTATTGTGATACTTTATTTGTCAAGTTATTAGGGATTACAACCCTAAATAACTTAGTTCCAAAAACTCGTCGGTACGCATGCTGATTGGCCGGGATGGTATTCAGACGAAAAAAACCCATTAAAATTTTAATGGGTTTTTTTCCGTCTGAATGCCATGGCAAGCGACATTCTCAACTACTAAAAAAAATGGCTAATAAGTTCACTACTGATCATGCTGTCCCGCCATGCTGCGCCCACAACGTGCAAGCTGCTGCATAAGCTTCAAATGCTGACCACCACTACTTCCGTCCGTGGGGCGTCGACGTCTCCGGCTTTCCTCCTCCAAACTCCGCTCCAAACCATCGCCGTCCGTGTTTAATTCCCTTGCGAACCACGGATATCTGCCTCGCGACGGAAAGGAGCTGACCCCACAGTTGATACGCGATGCCATTATGGACGTATTCAATGTAGACGAGGGACTGGTAGAGCGCCTTACTCGCCCGCTGCCGCCTCAGCTGACACTCGCG